AGAGGGAGAGAGAGAAGCAGGGAGAGATATCTTATCATGTATATGATACATATATATGGACTTTGCCCATACCCCTGACCCACAACTCCTAAAACTCTTGCTAAGTGATGAGGACACAGGTGTCTTGTTATGTGAATGAGGTGACTTTTGGAAAGTACCTAAAGTGGAGGCTGGTGGTCAGGAGAACCCACCATGTGACTAGAGTGTTGGAACTTGCAGTCTCTGCCTCTCTCCCCACCTCTGGGGACGGGGGTTGAAGAACTTAGTGAACACATGGAGATGTAGGAGAGGGCACTGAAGCTCTGTGCCCCTTCCCACACTCCTTGCCCCATGTCTCTCTTCATCTGGCCGTTCCTGAGTCACAGCCTTTTCTAGTAAACCAATGTTCTGGTAGGTGACACGATCCTCTGAGTCCTGTGAGCCATTCTAGAAATTAATTGAACCCCAAGAGGGGGTTGTGGGAATCTTTGATTTATAACCAGTAGGTCAACGCCTGGACTTGCAACTGGCATCTCAAGTGTGTCTGTGTCAGGGGGCGGGGAGTCTTCTGGGACTGAACCTTCTGGGCAGACAGCATCATAATTTAGTTGAATTCTTGGGCACCCTGCTGGTGTCCAGAACCATTTGTTGGTGTGGGTGCAGGGAATTCCCCCACGTTGGAATTGGGTCTGGGAACCCTAATTTAGTGTATAATACAGCCACAAAGCAAAAGTCTGCTTTTACACAGTTACAGCTGATTTCTTGTGATTTATTGGGCTAGCACAGCACTGAGCTCCAAGAAAATAGCCATGAGGTTGTAAGGGAAGCCAGAATGCCTTTAATTTCATAAATACTTGTGAGTGCATTGCTGGGAACCTTAACTAAAGAAACCCGTCCTTCCAAACAAGCAGGGCTGGAACTGGTGATGGCCCTGCCAAAAGAGAACCCTATCAATCGTTATTTAAAATGAATTCATTTCCAAATCCCCACATCTGCCATGAAGATTGAATGTAGTCAGTGAACCTGTTTCTCAATCCATACGATAGACAAAAGAGAGTCTCACTCAATGTCCTTTAATCAGAAAACTGCTGAATGGAACTGAGTACCCAAACATAAAAACAGTAGATAACAACAGATCCTTAATGTCTTATGCTCAACAACTCGCTGGTGTCTAGCTTTAGCCTGGGGTCTGGAAGAGGTTTATTTGAAGAAGATACCTGCTCCAGGTGTGAATGTGTGCACGTGCCCTCGATTCCATGTCTGCCTTTTCTGATCTACTTGAGCTACAGATGTAGGAGAAGGCCTCAAAATGAATTCTATTTACATGAATTACAATTCTCTCTACCCAAATACTTCATTAACAGTGTGAAGGGGACTGTCCTATAATACACCATCTTTTCCCCTTCTCTCTCTCTGGATCCAACAAATCAAGGAAAGCATAAAGAATAGAAATGTCACGCACAATCCCACCACTTAGACACAGACCACTGCTAACATTTCAGTCTATTTCTCTGTAGTTTTTAAATCTTATGTGTGCATTTTTTCTTCTTCTTATAAAACTGAGGTCATAGTGTTTATTGTATTTTGAGAATGTCCCTCATTTCATTTAAAATTCTTTAAAAACAATTTTTTTAAGGGCTGTCCATCGCTCTACCCTATGTTAACCATTTAGGCTACATCCAATGAAAAGCAACCTAAATTAGCATTTTTACATAAACCCTGCCCACATGTCGGATTATTCCCTCAGGATAAATTCCTGGAAGTGGAATTACCAGATCAGCTCGGAGTGAACATTTGTGGAGGCTCTGGACACATTCTGCCACATGACTCCACAGAAAGCTGCTCCAATTTACATGCCCAGGAGCCTCGCAGAGGGTACAGCTTTCTTTTACATCCTGGCTAACACTGAGGATGTTCACTTAACAAATTGCTGTCACTTTAAATTTGATAGGTCGGTCAAAAGCATTCTTTTTATTTTAATTTCTTTACCAATGAGATTAAATCTTTTTAGTTATAGTACTTGCTTTCCTCTGAATTTACTTACTCCTAGCTTTGCTTATTTTTTCTATAAAGTTCTGAGAGTTTTGAAATTTTTATATCCTGCTGTGAAGGTGAGGAAAGGAGGGGATGGAAGGTTACCCAGTGATATCACTGGTAATTCCACTTCCAGGAATTTATCCTGAGGGAATAATCCGACATGTGGACAGGGTTTATGTAAAAATGCTAACTTAGGTTGCTTTTCATTGGATGTAGCCTAAATGGTTAACATAGGGTAGAGTGATGGACAGCCCTTAAAAAAATTGTGGAGGAGCTAGGACTCCAGCCCATCCTCCCAGCGCTACGTCTTTCTGCTCCTTCACACTGATGAGTAAGGTGCCCAGCTGGACACTGCGCTGGGGTCACAAGGTGAGAATTAAAGAGCTAGAGATCCAAGACTTTCCTGAGGTGGATGTGATGCTTTCTCAGGGAAGGAGAAAGCCCTGGGCTGCAAAGCATATACCAAGGCCTAATCACAACCACAGATATTTACAACGCAAACACCCTCTCATCAGAGCAAGACTCCTTGACACCACTGCTCACTCTTCCTTTGGGGACAAATGTGATTCCCAATGTTTCAAGTAATTATGATGCAACTGACTAGCAAATACTTTTTTCTCTTAAAATTCACACACTGGAACCCAATTTCCTTTTGGTTGCCCATATGTGCAAAGTGTGTGTGTGTGTGTGGGGTGGGAGGGTATCAAAGCCCTTTTGTTTTCTAAGGAATTACACCTGCAGAGCAAGTGTGTCCTCCAACCCCCTCCTCCCAAAGCCCAAAGATACCCCAGAGGAGGAGTAGCGAGGTGTACAGGAACGGGAGAGGCTGACTCAAAACTACAGTTTGTGTGT